ATATTCGCTATGTAGCCAAAAATGGCCATAAATTCCTTGCCTTCACCTCTCACACCCATGCTAGGATGATCAGTGTGCACCATTTATATCCAGTTTATGAGGTGCTGGAGAATGCACTCAGGGTTTTGTGGGTGCTAAGCAAGCACCCTGCCAAGTGAGCCACATCCCCAACCCATGTAATATTCTTAACTTGGAGACCTTTAGAATCTGATGCAGGGATTGAGTCAAACTGTGGTCCTACCTCTTACAAGTTATGCGACTATAGGCAGTGACTATACTTTCCAAGCCCTGAAAACAGCCTAGAAAGCATGCAAGAAAATCCTTAAAACTCCTTAGTGTGGTTGTCAGGAGTCATAGACAGAAATATTTAGTTTGGTTTTAGGACACTGGGAATTAAATCTGGGGCCTCCCACACGCTAGGAAAGTGCACTGCCACAGGGCTGTATGCCCAGCCTTCTTACTCTGAGACAGAATTTCACTAGTAATCTGCCCAGGCTGACCTTGTGCTCACTCTGTAGCTCAGGCAGTCCTTTAAATTACAATTCTCCCGCCTCAGCCTACTGAGTAGCTAGGTTTATAGGTCTCTGCTATTGGGTCTGGTAGAGAAACAGTTTTTGGAGAAAGGTAAAAAGGGTTTTCTGGGACTTAAAGAGACCCAAAGCCTGTAAAGCAATTATTTCCTCTAGGAATCTTCCTTCCGCTTACATACAAGTCAGGTGGAAGCCTGTCTGTTCTATGATGAGAAAATAGACAGACACGCCTCCCCTTTATAAATATGGCGTTCTGCCAAAGCAAATCTATTTCTTCTCAACATCAGCCATGTTTGAAAGCCAGTCCAAGTCCCAAACGGTGTGGGAAGCATTTATCTTGGTTAGGATTCTCTGGGTTTGTTTACTATCCTGAGTATGTATGGAAGAAAATCCCTGAGACTCAGAAGGTAAATAATGGGGCCGGCAAATATTAAAAAACAACCCCCCCTACACAAGAACAATAAGCAAAGCCAGAGGCACAGAATAGAGTATTCTCATAGCCACCCTCTCTGCCCCTGGGAGTAGCCCAGTTAAGGTCTTCTCAGGGTACCCACTCTCTACTCGCAGCTCTGACACTGACCTTCTAGAATTCTGTTTGTGCTTCACTGTTCTGCTGAACAACCTCCCAAACCCCCCACTGCCTTGAGGATACAGACATTCAAAAACCCCAGTCTGTCTCTCCAAACGTGCCTCCTCTGCTTTCCTCATGGGAACCAGAAGTGTGTGTGAGCATTCACGGCTTCTCAACACCCCATGCTTACCTGCTCTAGGTCAGATGCCATGCCCACTCTGGTGATCTACTCTCAGCCAGATCGCTTCTTCAAAGCTAACTCTGGGCCAAAATGCCTTTAAAAACCCTTCGTTGGTCAGTCTTGCCAGCGTGGCCTTTCCTTCACTGGCTCCTGGAGTCCTTCCTTCACTTGGTATTTATTATCCGTGCCATTTTATTGTTAGTTATCCGTCCACTTGTTAAATGTTCATCTCCTTAACCAGGCCCTAACATCATATTAGAAATTCTGTAGGTTTACCACTCTGCCATGCATGCAGTTGTGTTTGTTGTGTTTTGCAGGCTCTGGCAATTAAAACACTGTCTTTGGAAAAAGGAAGTTTGAGCCTGGCCCAAGTCCTTTATGGCTCTTGACCTCTGATGTCCTCATCAGACCTAAGGTCCTGTAAGAGGGCTAGCCTTCCTCTAACATTACTGAAACCCTTTTATCTAGCCTGTTTACCTAAGACCTATTGAGGGGACTAGGGAAGTCAGGGATACATCAGGAGAAAGTAGAAATAGAAAGAAGTACTAAGAAATAATGAGCTTTAATTCAAGAACAGAAAACTTCAACTTTTAAAAGAAAGCAAGAGTTAAAGAAAAATCTTTCTCCATACTTTCTCTTTTCAGTGCCCAATAGCACTGGGAATAGTTTGCTGGGAATCCAGGGTAAACACTGTTCACAGGAGTCAAGGTGACAGGCGCCATTTTCTGTCCTTTAGTCACCAGCTTTTACTAGGGGTATCAGAAGGTCAAAGGGACAGGAGAAAGGGTCCAGCCTTTAAGAGTCCCTCTTCTTGCTGTGAGAATGGTAGGAGCCACAGGTGCATGGCCCTGGGAGGCCCCCACTGGCCACAACTTGTCAGTCTATATCCAAAGCCCTCTCCACACAGCCTTTTAAAATAAAAATCAGCCTTGGTTCAACCTCTACTTTGAGAAAAATGCTTGTTGGTGAGGAAAGGAGCAGCCTTTTAAATGTCCTCTCAAATCAGGAGGCATCAAAAGGTGGAAGAGGTCAGAGGACTCAAACTACAGGTATCACTTCAGCAGCCATGGTGGCACACACCTATACCTCAGCACTCAGACACTGAGGCAGGAGGATAGAGTTTGAAGCTAGCCTGGGCCTCAAAATAAGATCCTACCACCAAAAACCACGAAAGGAAGGAAGGAGAGGTACCCATCTATCTTGGGGCTTTTGTTTTTCATCAGTTTCTATGTCAGTTTGAACTTGATTTTCAGTTTCTCCATTTACAGCAAACATGGGCCTTACCTTCTGCCTCACAAAATGGTGGACGAGGACAATAGAGCTAATGGTGGCAGGCGGGGAGAGGGGAGCCTTCAGAACCGTCTACGTAAATAGCTTCATTTTACTTTTGTTTACATGTGACAAACAGTCTCATGTAGGCCAAGCTGGTCTAGAACTCAACCTGTAGACGAAGATGACCTTGAACTTCTGACCTCCCTGCCTTCACTTCTAAGGATCACAGCCATGCATTACCATTCTGAGAATTGAACCTGGGGCTTTGAGAACGATGGCCAAGCACGCTACCAGCTGAGCGACCTCTCCAGCCCCAGTCACATTTTCATAGACTCAATAATCTGGGAGTTTCCCAAAGCACCACAGGAGGCAGCACAGGAACAGACCTGCGACTGCCCACAGAGTGTCCTTCACAGCAGCCCCAGGTGAGTGTCCTTGTCTTCCTCCTGCATGGACCTCAAGTTCTTGACTCAGTGGAAAATTTTCAACATTGACCACTGAGGCAAGCAGTCACACCCCCATGACCCTAATGCTCAGTGAGAGGAAAAAGGAAAAGACCAAAGGCATTCTGGGACCAGCTACCTCGTGGCCCTGGGCCAGTGGCTGAACCAATGGAGGCACTGTGTTCTGGTGCAGCATGTCTGTGTTTTGTTTTGGGTATAAATCATGGAACTGGAAACTGGTTTTAACTGCCTGGATATTGGTAAGGTGACAGAGTTCTCACCATTCCTCCCACTGTGCTTATATCACAAGGCTGACAAAACAAACCACAGGCATTTCTGTCATTATGCATGCTTAGCAGGTTCTGCAGTGCCCCAGGGTAGCACGGATCCTTGGCCAAACTGGCAGGAACACCTAACAAAACAGCTCTGAGTCCAGTAAGAAAACTTAGGAAACAGTAAGAACTTTGGGGAGCCAATGTCAAGGTTGAGGTGTCCGTCTGTGTCTTGGCATTCAGGGAAGTCCCTCTCTAAACCTCTGCCGCTTGGGCTTCTGAATGCTATCCCACCAACACTATAGCTTGGGGACCCGAACCAGAGCCCAGTAGCCTGGCTTAGAAGTCCCTGCACACCAACCCATCCCATAGCCCTGAGTATCACACTTCCCAAGGAAGCCTGTGCACATCAGAAGGGTATGTGGCAAAGAAGCCGGAGAGTATTTCAGCTTCAGCCCTGAGCAGGGACAGCCAGCTCAGTAGTGGCAGCTCTTTGCCCCCAAACCTCCAGCCTAGTCACCCTGAGTTGAAGACAATGCTAAGCCCTTGGCTCACGGTAGCTAATATGTCACTTTCTGTAACCACTATACAAAATTTCCCTCATGTTACTAATTCCTTCTCTCCCAGTGGTCAGTTATGGTAAACACTACAGAATCTCCCATCGTGATCTGTATGCCAGGAATGTTTCCTCCTTGCTCTAACCGATCCTCAGGTTTAGCCTCTCATGAGTCCTTTCTCCATAGTACTGTGTATTCACCCTCAACAGCTTCCTGGTACCTGTTCCCTGCTCCAAGCGATCCTCTCAGACAGCAAATCAGCATTGGTTCTTTCTTCTTCCAATTCAATCTCCAACTGGGACACCTTGTCCTGAGAAAGGAAACAAACAGGTTTCTTCACTTACACATGAAAGGAAACCCAAGGGCAAATGAGAGCTGATAATTGTTAGGGCTTGGGAGCATAAGACACCTACTTCTTTCCTCTCTGCCTCCCTTTCCTCCTTCCTAAAGGATTCATCTTGATCTGTATGGTGAGAACATTTCTCATGTATCCAGGTTAGCCTCACGCTTGCTATGTAGTCCAGGATGACCTTGAACTCCTGATCTTCCTGCATCTACATCCCCAGTGCTGGCACTACAAGAGTGTGCCTGGATACTGGGTGCCAGAGATTGAGCCCAGAGCTTCATTTATTTATGCTAGGCAAGTACTCTACCAGCTGAGTCACACACCCAGTCCTTACACATGTATTTCTTGTACTGTCCAAAGCAGGTATTTTAAAAAAACCTATGTTTCGTTGCTTTTGCAATGTATTTGGGAATGTGGAAAATACATAAAAGGAGAAAAGGCCTGAGTCCTGATGAACAAAACAAAAACACTAAGGTTATATTAGTACGTATTACATTATTATCTTAAACTGGTCCCTATTAAAATCAACGTATAGTCTGAGAAGCCATCCCGTGACATTTCTGCAAATACGTCATGTTCAAGAGGCTTGCTCCTGTGAGTGCAGGCTCATGCTTCTGGCCTGCCTCTTCTCTAGAGTATCCGTGAACTTGGCAGTGGACGGTCCCAAACCTACACTGGATTGCACAGGACAGTGGTGGTCAATTCTGGTAAGTTCACCATCACAGAAGATGACACTCTGTCCCTCTGGTCTCTGTTCAATATCACTGACAGTTAAGAGAGAAGCATTTCAAAGTAGTTTCATGTATGAGAGAAAGAGGTTTGCCCACTCAGTGTTCCAGCCCTGGGAGCTGGGAGACTTCAGCCTGTGTTTCTTGTCTTCAGTAGATTTGTCATAGATCTGGGTAAACTTGGAGCCATAGATGCTTTTTAAATGTATATTCCTAAAACATTTTTGCATTCTTTTTTTATTTTATGTAGATGGGTGTTTTGTCTGCATGTATGTGTACTACACACGTGCAATGCCTGTGGAGGCCAGAAGAGGGGTGTCAGTTTTCCTTGAACTGGAGTTACCGGTGGGGTTGTAAGCCACCATACGGGTCCTCTGGAAGAGCAGCCACCTGCTTTTTACCCCTGGGCCATCTCTCTACCCCAACAGATGCTTTTTTAAAATCCAACATTTTGAGTTTTCAAAGGCAGCACTTGTGTGCAAATATGATCTATGCAACTGCTAGAATTAATTGACAACCAAGAATGGCTATATAAACAACAGAAAGGAAACTCTCAGAACTCTTGTGAATGATGGCCTGCTGGTGACTGAATGGCTGGCCTTGTCAGGGACTGATCAAAGCCTCCAGGAAGGACCAGCAAGATGGCTGAACAGGTAAAGGTACCTACTGAAAAGTCTGAGACTAGAGTTCAGACACTACAGCCCACACAAAAATAAAAAGGAGTGACTTGTCAAAGTTGTCTTCTGTCCTCCACACTCATGCTGTGGCATGCACTTGTGTGCACATACACACAATAACACATAAAATAATTAAAAACCTGCAAAGAAACCCAAAAGCTCTCTCCTGGGAGCAGAAAGTCCCAGAAACTAACTCAAGACATGGCTGGCCCCTGCCTGGTTACCCCTCTATCCAGTTCACTCAGAATCACAAAATATCTTCAGAGCTTCAGCCCCAAAAAATGTTCACTGTGGGCGAGCTCCAGTGACCTGAGAATTGGTTAAGTTTTAGTGATGGGATGGGAAAGGTATGAGTCACAGCAACATGGTGCTGGCAGCCACCACCTAGAGCAACTCCCCTCAGGTGCCTTTCATGGTGGCAGGGCCTCCGGAAGCTGTCACTGCAGAACAAATGGAGAAATACCTTCAGTGGTATTTAACTGCACTGCTGCTTCAAGACCTTAAGTTACCCAGAGGACATGCCTTGTTAGAATATTCTAGACTCAAAGGAGATGATCTTACAACCCAATCTGATCTCAGCTAAAATCACTTATATTTAAAAGATCTTTTTTTTTTTTTTTAAAGTTAGGTGTCTGTGTGAGGGTATGTGCATGTGAGTGCAGCTTATCATACCAAGGCTCCTTATTCACTATTCAGTCTGTTTCCACTTGGAAAATGTTGTGTGTGTGTGTGTGTGTGTGTGTGTGTGTGTGTGTGTGTAGACAAGTAGACAATAGGCAAATGGACCACAGAGGCCAGTGTATTAGGTATCTTCCTCAATTACTCTCCATCTTATTTTTTGAGACAGGGGTCTCTTACTGGCCTGGAGCTCACCAAGTAGGGTAGACTGCCTGGCCAGCCCCAGGGATCCCCCTGTCTCTGCCTCCCTGGCCCTGGGATTACAGATGCACACTGACTTGGGCAGCTTTTGACAAGGATGCTAGGCATCTGAACAGAGGTCCTCACACTTATATGGCATGTACTTCACCAATGGAGCCATCTCCCTGGCCCACCAGTTGCTTTTAACCAGGGCATCTAGGCCCTAGAGCAATCCATTTCTAGTTACCTGGGTTACCTTAGCTTATCTGAAAATGACCCCCTAAAGAGATCAAAAAGAAAATATTAGAAAAATTCAGCAGCCCATAAACAAAGCAATAAAATTGCCATCAGGCTACCCTGGTCTCTAAGAGAGGCCCATCCAATAAAATCTCCACTGGTTCAAACTTCACTTCCTAGATATAAACTGCGAAGCACCCTGGAGCTTTAGAAAAGCTATTTCTTTTTATTTGCAAAGCTGAATGAGGAATTCATTGATTTTGAGCTCAAGCCATCTCTTGCTGGCCTTGAGCGCAATGCCTGTCTTTTATCAAAACCCTGACAATGTTAATGTCTTCCCCCAAAGTCTGAGCCTTGTTTTTCAGTCTCTCTCAGTCTCTAAATTCCACTGGAGGGGGGCGGAGCACACATGTGTTTCTGGTTTAGGGTCAATTCTCTTGTAAATTATTCCATTTTAGCAATTCAGGTTCTTCCCATCATCTCAGAGGACCGATACAGAGATTCTGGTATTTTATTTATAAGTTTTGTTTTGTTTTGTTTTGTTTTTCTCAAGCATTATGTATTAGACTTGTGAATACTCACCACCACCTGGTAACTGCTTTGAGCAGTTTCAGAAATGGCAATGAATTGGACCATAGTTTGCTATAGCAACAATACACACACACACACACACACACACACACACACACACACACAAAGATGGGCCAGGAATAAGAATGGACTGTGTAGTTTGGGAATGGGTGGTTTGGGGTCTAAGTTACAGTGTGGATCCTGACTGGACAGTCGGCAGTCTTGCAGTCTCTACAGAGGAAACATTGCTGAAGGGACACAGCGCCATCAGTTAAGTTCTTTGGGGATCAACTTGTATCTTCTTCAAAGCAATGAAGACATTAGACTAAATCACACTCTTCACTCCTTCCGGCTTTGACAAACTACAACACAGTAAACTACTTTCCCACCACAAGAGAAGATCTTAAAACATCAAGCTAGAAAGAGTAAAAGCCCAAGATTTCCTGCATAGGAAGCATTCCCCTGGTGGCCCAGACGTGCTCTCCACAGCCTGGCTCCTGTACCCACTCACCTCCATCTGCTTGATGAGCCGGCTGCGGTCATCCTTGAGGTGACTCTTGGCCTCCAGCTCGTACTCCAGATCCTTCAGTGACTGCTCCAGAAGTTGTCTTTTTGTGAGTGCTTCATTCTCAGCCCGTTGGTAGTCCCGCAACTCTTCCTCCTTGAGACGCAACTAAAAGGAGAAGGGTGTTGGGAGGTTCCTTGAGCAGAGGAAATGTGAGCAAATTGAACCACAGTGTACCTGCTGGTAGTTCTGGCAATGATACCTAACACATACATGCCTGCATACATGTCTGCATACCGTGTACATGCCTGGCTCAAGAAGGCCAGAAGACAGAGTGCAAAGGCCCACCCCAAGGCAAAGAGGAGCCAATCCCACCTCCCTGTAGCCTTCATTTTTCCATTTTATAATGAGAGGGCTTTTCAGTTGTAAGCAGTAAACTATTAAGTTATAAAGTCTACCAATTAGATATTGACTATTATTTCAATTACACAGAGTGCACACACACAAAAATCAGTGTATGAACAATTATTTTGTTTTTTATTAGATATTAACACATTTGTATGGATGTATGCTTGAATAATGCCTTTCTATTACAGGCTGCCATGGTCAAAACCACTTACTTAAAAGTCACTAAAGTAGTTAAGTGTTCTTGTATTGGCATCATCTCAAGAGAGGTTTAAAGATTTAAAATAAAGACTTAAATTAATAGTCTCTGAGCAACCAGCAGGCACAAACCCCAAGAACATAATCACACTCATTAGGCAACAGCCATTGCTGTGTAGAAAAATAATTGGCGATAACCACAGTGCTCTTTTCATCCACAAGGTGGCGCTCATCTAATAGTTTTGAGGAATATACAGGAGCAGTTTGAGCAGCCGGTAGCCTCAATGACAGTGGGAATGCCACAAACAATCGAACCCCGTGGGCTGACTCAGTGAAGCTCAACTCTGACTCTTTGGTTGCCAGTGCCAAACCCTCCTGGAGATGGAGAAGGCACAGTGCTAAGAATAGACCACCACAGGGCTTTATTCCTTCAGGGAGCTCATGGAAAATCTGGGGAAGCTCAAAAAAATCAGGCTAGTGGAGGAAGATTTGCAGAGAGGGGAATCCAGCATTGTATTGTTGTGGAGGCTAGCAGAACCCCAGCCATTTCTAGCACAGCCTCACCTGGAAGAAGACAATCGCTGGGCACGGGCCCTGGGCTGGTTTGGATGGCAATGGTGAGTGAAACTGAATGAATGACATCAAGGGACCCTCATCCACAGAGGGACAGAATGGGTTCTCTGGATACCGAGGTTTGAAACATGGCAGAGGGACACTAAACTTCTTCAGGGCTCTATGTCCCCATCACAACATAGGGATAATATGAGAATCAGACAGCAACCAAAAAATAACGATCAGAAATAATGTCGATCAAATATACAGCCAAGATTTCCTTCTTGGCACTCCCGGACACACCTCTCCTGATACCTAGTGCATGCTTCCCCCTACCTAGCAGGGTCTATCTCCTAACAGCAGCAGGGCTCTCCTGGGAATAGGACAGACAAGAGAAAAGAACCACTCATACAGGCTGATCACCCCAACTCAAAAGCCCAAAATGCAGGGCTGAGAGACTGCTCAATGACTAAGAGCACTAGCTACTCTTCCAGGGTTCGGCTTCCAGAACCCACATGCAGCTCACAACCATCTGTAACTCCAGTTCCATGGAATCTGATGCTTCCTTCTGACATCCCTGGGCACAAGGCCACATGTGTACACCTATATACATGTAGGCAGAATAATTATAGATATAAAATAAATCCTTAAAAAAAAGCCAAAACTCAAATACTCAAAAACTCAAAGACATTTTGGATTGTAGATTTTTTTAAAGCTGGAAATGACAAGTAAAATCTATTTCTGAAATCAGAAATACTTCTAGTACCAAGCATGTCAGATACGGGAACACTCTTATGTTCCCAGTGAGTGTCTAAGAGCAACTTGCCCTGAACCAAAAGTAAGCAAAACAGTCCTAAAAGGGGCATCTGCCTCACCCACCCCCACACTTGGAGGAGCCGGAGGAAGGGGTGGAGTGCTGTAGAACACTGTCACAAGACTGACCCAAACAACATTCCATCCAGAGCTGGGCTCACACAGCCCCACCCCTCCCTGAGGATTTATCATCAGTGGTTGCTCAGTGGAGAGAAAGGCACTTTCTTCAGTGGTGTAAGTTGCTTAGTTGCCCGTGTAAACTACTCCTCACCACATTGGTAAAAGCAACCCTAAACTGACAGGGACACACAGACAAGAAAGTAGATGGAGGGCCAGGTGGAAAGAGAGGAGATCAGCAGGAGTGAGGAGACAAGGAGTGGTGAGATGAGGAGGGTCAAAAGACATCCGACCCACATATGAAATGTCATAATGAGACCTGTTGCCGTACGTAATATCTGATGATGAAAATGAGAGTAAGCAAGTAACTTTTTAATCTGTGTTACCTTGAAGCACTTTAGCAGGATTTAGAAAATGAAGGAAAGATAAAGTTTAAGCCTCACTTCCTAAAGATCACCCTCATCAGAACCTCCCTGTCTCACATCGCTGGCAGAACGGTAGCCAGTGCACTGCCCTCAAGGCAAAGCTAGCCAGTGGCCAGCACTGTGCAACCCCAGAGTGATTTTCAACTGAAGTTTCATTGGGGAGAGGACCAGTGAGCAGAGGGTCCAGAGGGTCCAGAGGGATCTTGACTCATTAATTCACTTCTGTTTTAAAATCCTGACTTCAGCATCAGAGGGGTGGCGTCTGCCTCCTTTCCCTTCAGAGATGAGGAATCTGTCTGCCATTCAAATACAAAACTATCTTTATGGGCCACACCAGCAGAAACTCAAGAAAGGCCACCTCTGCTTTCATTCAGCAAACACTTTCAGAGGAGGAGGGGATGAGGAAAGGAGGGGGAGGGGGAGGGGGGCTGGAGAGATGGTTCAGCGGTTACCAGCACTGGCTGCTCTTCCAGAGGTCCTGAGTTCAATTCTCAGTAACCACATGGTGGCTCACAACCATCTGTAACGAGGTCTGGTGTCCTCTTCTGGCCTTCGGGTATACATGCAGATAGAGAACTTACACACATAACATAAATAAATCTTTTTATAATATATATACACACGTGCTCTTTTTTAAAAAAAGTATTACATGTATATCTGTGTGTATGTACATGTACACATGCATGCAGGTGCCTAAGGTGGCCAGGAGAAGGCACTGGATCTCTGGGACTCAGACTGATACGATAGGTGGTTGTGAGTCTCCCGACATGGGTGCTGGGAACCAAACTCCAGCCCTTTGTAAGAGCAGCAAGTACTCTTTAAACTGCTGAGCCATCTCTCCCAGCCCCAGTATGTGCTTGTGCTCTCTCCCTCTCCCTACCCCCCCTTTTAAATAAAGAACCCTGGTCTCCATCTGGCCTTACCTAATCTTTGTGGCCTTCTGCTTCTTTATCTGTCCTGAGAATCTTCATGTTTCTTCTCCCGCTAAGTGTCTAGCCCAATAGCCTTTATACAAACAGTCAAGTGGACCCCTGCGCAGGGTCACAGTGACACTGTGGTCTTTCGAAGTTAACAGACCAGGTATGTGTTGTGTTCTGGCAAATGTTGAACCCCTCCACTCATCTGCTATAAAAATGAAAAAAAAATGTTTTCATAGCAAAGAGAACTGTGATATCAGTGTGCCAGTTTCAGTGTTCTTGGACTCTTGTGCCATGTTACCCTGAGGTAGAGGGGATCTGCTATCAGGCTCCTTTCAGAAAGCGTTCTGGAAATATGTAATAAACATTCATTGTTCTTTGATGGTGTCAGCACTGACTCAGGGGAAAACCTTCCTTTGATCATCAAAGAAATTAAAAGTTTGTTGTTGTTCTTTTTAAAGAAAGCTTGTTTTCCTGTGGAATCTGTGGGCTCCTCACACTGTGTGTTTACAGGGGGAAGCTTGGTGAAAGAGAGGCGTATCAGGTGTCCGGGACCTAGGGGCCTTCACTATATTGTTTCATGCATTATCTCATTTGTCATTAAGCCACTAATGTAGAAAGAGATGCTAAGAAAACAGACAGATTGTTCAGGACCATTCAGTTGGCACAGGCTAGAATCACAGCGAGGTGTGGTGGCTCACACCTGGAATCCTGGCACTCAGGAGAATGGGGCAGAAGGGACACGAGAGAGAGAGAGAGAGAGAGAGAGAGAGAGAGAGAGAGAGAGAGAGAGAGAGAGAGAGAGAAATAGACAGTCATGGTGCTTCAGATCCTCCAGCCTTCTGTGAAAAAAAGAATACCCAACACGCCCCATTCATTTTTCTTTTCCCAGGTCAAGAATACAACGTTTGCATTTCTTTGCTCTATTACTACTACTATAAACAGCCCTAGAGGTCCTGGAGCTCACTCTGTAGACCAGACTGACCTCAAACTCAGAGATCCACCTGCCTCTGCCCCCCAAGTGCTGAGATTAAAGGTGTGCGTCACTCTGCCCAGTTTACTCTATTATTTTTCTTAATTTTTTCAATATTAGGTTTCCCTTTGTAGCCATGGCTGTCTTGGAACTCACTTTGTAGACCAGGCTGGCCTCGAACTTATAGAGACCCACTTGCCTCTGTCTCCCAAGTGCTGGGATTAAAGGTATGTGCCATCATCGGCCTATTCTTCTTAAGTATAAAACCAAGAAAGTTTTTAGGGTAGGCAAGCTGGCTCAGCAGGTAGGTGGTTGCAGCGCAAGCCTGATAATCTCAGTTTGATCCCCGAACCCCGCAAAGGTAGAAGGAGAGAACCAACTCCATAAAGTTGTCCCTGAGCTCCACACATTCACTCCTGCACTCAAACCTTCACATACACATCATACACTCCCAATGATAAATAATAAAGAAATAACAAGTGTGTTTTAATTATTTCAGCATTCATAAATTCCTAAGACTTGGAGATGGAACCCAGTCTAGGCAAGCACTCTACCACTGAGCCACATGCTCAGTCCCTAAGGACGTCTTTTAGTCTATTTTACTGTGGCTATCAAATTCTTAACCATGAGACCACCTCAATAAAAGTCAAAAGATGGGTATCAGGGCTGGAGAGATGCTCATTAGTTAATGGTTGCTCAACAATGAGGACCAGAGATTGGATACCAGCACCTACACGTAAAGTCAGGCAAACGCCTGCAACTGCAGCTCCAAAAGATCCAATGCCCTCTTCTGGCTTCCATGGGCACCCGCACACACACACACACACACACACACACACACACACACACGGAAAAACACATCATTCACACATAATATAGTTAAATCTTTAAAAAAAAAAGGTTGTTAAAAGAATCTAGTCATTCCCTGCCATCTTGTTCTAGGAATAAAGGAAAGCACTGATGACATGTATATACATGCTTCCATGTATATCTGCACACTAGAAGACTGCACCAGATCTCATAACAGATGGTTGTGAACCACCATGTGGTTGCTGGGAATTGAACTCAGGACCTCTGGAAGAGCAGTCAGTGCTCTTAACCTCTGAGCCATCTCTCCAGCCCTGGACACAACATTCTTGCTCCATAAAAAGTAGCTCATCTTTTCAGGCAGAAAACTTTGGACCAAACTAGAATATGGCCCGACTAAAGATGTATCTGTTTGGCTTCTGAGCCAAGGGAGTTTTGTGTCTTAGGATGCCATATCCGCTTTTAGTCACTAGAGAATGGAGAAAAAAAGCAAGCCCCAAAGCTGCCCTAAGCATATCTCCCTCCCTACAACACAATCCCAGCCCCACCCAGGCCCCTCAGCAGAAGCCTGGCAAGGCAAGCTGATGTACATTCTCAAGAAGAGATAAAGGAGAGGATTACCTAGCAGGCATTACCTCATCTTGCATTTTCACAGCTGCCAGTTTGGCCTTTTCCACCTCCAGGCTTTTCTCCTTCAGTTGATTCTGCATCTCAGCAAGCTCCCGGCGGTTCTTCTCCTTATACTCACCCAGCTGCCTCTGCAGCTGCAAAGAGGATGTTCGGGAGGCCTCTGCAATGTCCGACATCTAGAGGAAGTGGTATGGTATGAACTAGTCCTGCCATGCTGGGAGACCCCTCCAACACAGAGAGCATCTCCTCTGCTCCCTACCTTGAAAGCCTCCTCTGAGGCCGCCAGACACCAGGCCCTGGGCTGTCTGGGTCTGGCTAACCCTGCTGTGGCGACAGCATGGAGGAGTGAATAGGAACTGGACACATCGTCCTGAGGCCACAGCTTTGCTTTTCGCTAACCAGTATGATTAGGGCACATACTTAGCCACTAAGGGCCTTGGCGCTGTCCTTTTGGGAAACACTGAAATCAGACCTGCCTTCCAGAGTTAAGACAATACCAAAATATAGAATCCTAGTTAGAGCTAAAGAGGTCACTAGCAAAATGCCTTCACCGGTAGGCGTCAGAAAATGGCAGCCTCCTGTGTGCACTTCTAGAAGGCAGGGAGCCTGTCGGCCTGTGCCTTTCCCTGTGAGGCAGAGGTGAGCTGTGGGACAGATGTTTCAGGGTTTAGAAACTGCCTTTGGCACTCCTGCATATGTCAGAGAGACGTCAACATGCAGATTCTGCCCAGAAGCCTCAACTCCAGCTCAATACGCATTGGTTAAGTGTGTCCACACCAGGCCATCTGTTTATTGTTAGCAAGTGACCAGGTGCCCAGAGCCCTGAGGCTTTTGGCATTTATTTTTTAGACAAGTTTCTCCACTTCTGGAATTTTCAACAAGTCCAAAGAATGCCTGCAGGGGCTCAGCACCGCCCAGGTGCATCTGTGCATAGGGGAACTGTGGCTCTCCTGGGCCTTCCGGGAGAAAGCGCTGGGTTCCCTGGGGCCCCTTGACCCTTGCTCTGCCTCCTGCCCCCTCACCTCCTTCTGCAGCTTTTCAATGGTCTTGTCCAGGTGCCACCGCTCGCTCTCCATCTCGTTCTTCAGCTTTTGCAGCTGCTCCTTCTGCCCAGTCTCTTCCTGGAGTTTCTCTAATAGCTCCTTCTGCTCCTGGGAGGTCTGGCTCAGCTCTCTCTGCAGACAGTAGGGGAAATACGATGGTGTCACTCGCCTACCTGGTCATCCTCTGCTGCAGGTGGTCAGGGGAATTTTACAGCCACACCACAAAAGCAATGAAACCTGCCTCTATGTGAAGAGAGAGCGAGAGCAAAACTGGAGAGCGCCAGATGGACATACAACAAGCAGCCACCGTGGCTGGTGGCGTTCAGGCTAGACGCTTAAACTTTAAGTTTGTTCTTAGAACAGAACAATGATATCATAGACCAACCAAAACCACACCAACAAGCAAATTACAAGCTGAGTTCAGTCTCCAGCCTAGTAGAGGCATGCTTCAAGACAGGGTTTCTCTGTGTAGCCTTGGCTGTCCTGGAACTAGCTCTTGTAGACCAGGCTGGTCTCGAACTCACAGAGATCCGCCTGCCTCTGCCTCCCGAGTGCTGGGATTAAAGGCGTGCGCCACCAACACCCGGCCAGCACAGGAACTCTTAAGGCCTGGATAGCCTTGTGTCATTGCAGGAAAATGCACAGAACAATGGTTGGCATTTGGACAGTGTTCAACAGTCCATAACCTATAGCCACACGCAGTCACTCACGCATTCTGAAACAACTACTTTTTTGTTTTTTTAAGATTTATTTATCTATTGTGTATACAGTGTTCTGTCTGAATGTATGTCTGCACGCCAGAAAGAGGGCACCAGATCTCATTAAAGATGGTTGTAGCCACCATGTGCTTGCTGTGATTGAACTCACGACCTCTGGAACAGCAGCCAGTGCTCTCTGAAGCTACTTCTAAACCATCCCAGGTGTTCCTGGGTCTTCAGAGAATACTACAGGTATGCTTGCCAAGCATAGGACATGGGAGTGAAAAAAACCCTGGTGAGGTACCACCCCCCCTCCCTGAATTCTGATGGAATGACTGTGCTTTGGGAAGCAGCAAACATTGCCAGGCTGCTAAACTTCACTCCTACAGGGAACCAAGGTCGACAAAAGTTGTTGGGGAAAAGCAAGCAAAGAAAGATACTCCAAGGCCAGTGTGGAGGCAATCAGCCCACTACAACTACAGTTGGGCACACACCAGAAGGTTCAAACCCTGGGGTTTCTGTTTGGAGTTTACTTTCTGGTATTGGGGAGGAGAAGAAGAAGAAGGAGGGGAAGAAATTGTTAGCACCTGGTGAGGTTGAGCCCATTCTGTGGAGGGAGCTCTAAGGAACTAGATCTCAAAGATGTAAATTACCCCCAGATGGTGGTGGTGCACACCGTTAGTCCCTGTACTCCAGAGGCAGAGGCAGGAAGATCTCCATGAGTTCGAGGTCAGCCTGGTCTACAGAATCACTTCCAAGACAGCCATGGCTACACAGAGAAACTCTGTCCAAAAAAAAAAAAAGTGAATCCCTTACAATACCCCATCATGGATTAGGGAGGGGGCTCACCAGGCCCCACCTTCCCCGAGAAACTAAAGGCAGTTAATGGGGCAGAGTCGTTTTCTTCAGTGGTGTAGCCACTGGGAAGTTGCCCAAGCTTAGTGAATAACCCCTCACCCATGCTCACACAAGCAACCTTAATTGAGCTCAGTGTGAAGGGAGACATGAAAGTAGAAAGGGCCACCAGGCCTGGGAAGGGGACAAAAGAAAGTAAGGGAGGGTGAATATGATCATAGTCCACTGGATATATTGTGAAATTGTCAACAAAAATTATGTTAAATTCAACCAAATGTATTTTCAGTAACAATATGACAGAATAATGTAATGAAAGCTATTAATAAAAGAAAAATATGAATTCATGGGGACCAACAATACAAGGGTCTAGCAAGGGTTCTGTAAAAACCTTCAGGATCGGGCTCAGCTGCACCTCTGGAGACCTCACTCCTTCCCTTGGATCCCAACACAGAGTGTCTGGTCAGTAGGTCAATCCCAGGTCCACAGCTTCCCATGGCTCACACGTCATGTGTTACTCTATGCCTAGTCCCTTCCTCTCTGCCACCAAATCACCCCACTTTCACCCACTCTGTGTCTGGACCCCAGCATGCCACCCAACATAGGAAGATTTACCAGAACACCTATTTCAGCTAGGTTATTTTGGTATCTTTATACTCTCCCTTGTGTGCTAGCTACACAAGATAGTGAAGTCCACACACGAGTAGATTTCCTGCTGGGATACTTACTCCAATTAACACCTGAAAATGTCATAAGATATCTCATACCTTGGGTGGTGAAGAGGTAGAGTCAGGAGGATGGGGTGGGTGGGGGTGGGAGTTGCTCACTGGCCAGCAGCTTGCTGAAAGGAGAGCTACAGGATCAATGAGAGACTCTGTCTCAAGCAATGAGGTGGAAAGCAATAGAGGAAGACATCCCAGTGTAGACACCTGGCTTCCACAGGTGCCTGCATGGTCCTGTGTGCACATATGTGCACACGCGCACACACACGCGCACACACACACACACACACACACACACAAACACACACACACTTCAAAGATTCCAAGCCTGCTTCTTTTTGGGAGGATTTGAAACATGTTTTTGCAGCACTCTCTCTCTCTCTCAATACCCACAGAAAGGGAGGGGGAGAGACAGAGAGAGTGTGTGTTCTTTTTGCTGGGAACCAAATTCAGGGTTCTGCGGTGATAAGCAAGTTTCCACACAACTGAACTACATTCCCCAGACTCTAGAACATAGTTCTTAGACAACTGAGAAGGCAGAACATTGTCCTAGAAGACATTTCTAAATTGTAGGACATTTTAAGATTATCTGGAATATGAGCCAGGCAGTGATGGGGCACGCCTTTACCCAGCACTGGGAAGACAGAGGCAGGTGGTTCTCTGTGAGTTCAAGGCCAGCCTAGTCTACAAAGCTACATAGAGAACCCCTGTCTCAAAAAATTAAAAAAAAATATCTGGAATAACTCTCAAATTCAAGTTTATGGATTTCAATCTGTTCCAAAAACTGTGACTCCACCAGAAAGGATGAAAATTTGCATTCTGTGTAAGGGGCATCCCACTATTGTTGTCCGATATAGGAGGTAGTCAGATTAAGTGTTTTTTTTTTTTTTAATACTATTTTTTATCCTTAAAGGAAGGCTCTTCTCCCTCCTGCTCCTGTCCTAGTGGGCTTTTGCATATTGAGACAGCAGAAGGGAAAAGCCTTGCTGCTTCCATGGCTGGCCATAGTTACTGTGCTCCAAGGCGTCTGAGATGCCACCTTCTTCCTGTCCTTTATCAGGAGCTCAGTGGCCCTTGGTTACTGACCTCAATCATATAGTCAAAGGCTCTGCAGCCAGTAACAGGTCATGGTCCCCAAGCTCAAGGGTGCCATTGTACATCCTCCAGCTCTGTGTCTTAGAATGACCCACCTGGTGAGCCCTGCCGTCCACATGTGCAAATTTCCTTCCACTATCAATCAGTGGGTTTGTACTGTTAGCCTTAGAGGCATCGTCTCTGTAACTACAAAGTACCTTACTCAGCATTGCCACCCAGAGGGCAAAAGCTGCAAAGGGACCTGGGAAGCTGGCTCAGTGGGTCAAGCGTTTGCTGCACAAGCATAAGGACCTGAGCTCAGATCCCCAGCACCCAGGCAAATGGTAGATTAGGTGATGTCCAAGTGTGAACCCTGTTCAACACGAAGGAGATACTGTTTAAGAGAACTAGCCTCGTGCACTCAGAGCTCTGCACCATGGCTCCAAGTGTGAATCATCATTTCCTGTGTGCTGTCCCCATCTGACCCTACAGACTAGTGGGTCCCCACTGTGAAACTTCAACAGTCTTGAGCAGCCCTTCAGCCCCCACCTTCCCCAAAACTCACCCCAGGGATATTTGGGCAGCATTTTGAAACCCAAGGGCAGAAGGTAGAATGAAGACACACCTGGATCAAACTGAGGCTGCTGTGCAAAAGTCAATTTATAACTTTAGCGCTGGCTCTGACTACAGTGGACTTCAAATAATCTACCTGACATTCAAATGGGAAAATCTCATTTTCTAGGAACCTCCTGGTTATGAAGAGAGATAGCTATCTGGTCTCAAGGAAATGACTTCTTCCTGCTCCTTTCCAGAGCCGCCTTGAAGAACTGCCCGGTGTGGAGTGTGTTTGTCCAGAGGAGAAGGGAAATTGGCTTCTGCAGAGAGGCGACTCCATGCCGCCTTGGGGACAGGTTCAGCCTGCTTCCACATGCTATTTGTATTTTATCTCTGCAAAGCTGTCGAGAACTTTCCCATCAAGGGCAAGGCCTTCTCAACCTTGGCACAGTGACGTTTGGACCAGAAAGCTCATGGTTGTGGGGCTGGCCTGTTTTCTAGGATGCTTGCAGCATCCTCCCGGTGTGACAATGAAAACATCTCAAGATATCACCAACCATCCCCTACTCCCAAGTCACCAGTCTAGATGGATAGTCTGAAGCTCAGGGTGGCTACACAGGTGGAAGGCATCCCTGGAAGGACCGACATGGATGAGGAAGGCAAGACTCAGGCTTACCTGGGCATGCTCCAGTTCCTTCTCCAGAGCTCTTCTGGCAGAGGTGGCTTCCTTTTCTTCCTGTCTGGCATGCACAAGGGCTCGCTCTAGCTGCTGCACTTCACTCTACAATGAGACAGATGGGCCAAAAAACACAGGGATACACTCTGATGTGTTCTGATGCCTGCTGTGTCCAAGAGAAAAGACAGTCATGACCGTAGTGTCTGTCATGGGGCCAAGATAAGGAACAGCTCAGTTCTTGGGTGAGTGCTCCTCTGCAGTCCCATTTCTAGCCACATGTCACTTTCTGGATTACCTTGGTGACTTTTTTCTTTATTACAAATACCCAAGATTTATCCCTGGAGAGTCAGAAACTCCCGGTAGGGGAGATGGACAAGGCACTGCTTTAAAGATGTGCAGGTGACCTGATGGATGCCAGTGCGTCCCTCCCATTCTACTGCTGTAGCTTACCACCTCTTTCCCTAACAGCTTCCAAAGCTTGGGTAAAATAGATAACTGGTTTGCTAAAATCTCCAAAAATATCAGCTATGTGTTAAAGAATGTCTCCAGTGAGTCAGCCTAATGGTGGCGTGATGATGGACTCTGCAGGTGGTCAGAGGTCCCCCATGGAGCCTCAGAAAGATGTCTATGTCTGATGCCAGAGCTGCTGGGGACTGTGTAGCCTGGACCTGTGTTTCCTACCCTGGCTTCATTAGCCCTGCTCCCAGACCTCTGGTTCTTGCCACTCCCATTGATGCTTGCAGGTCACCTTGACATCCTAAATAAATCCTGACAGTCTCTTCCCCAACTCTACAATCACTATAGGAAAGAGGGCCACGAACTGCCAAGCCCCGACCAAGACCCAGGGAGCCTCACCTCAAACTTGCGGAGTGTCTCCTTTGCTTGGGCCTCATCATCTTTCACATCCTCCATCTGCCTCTGCAGCTGGGCCAGTCTGCGCTCCAGCTCTGCAATCCTTGCCTGCAGCTTCTCATTCTCCTCCTTCAGCACTTTCTCACGCAGGTCTGCCTCTCCTTGGCTCTGCTCTGATGAGTTGCTCCTGCTGGCCAGGACCTCCACATTCTAAGAACAAAGAACAAAGGAATGAGTGTTCACAGGTGGTCCCCAACTCATGAGGGAAGCTGGCTTCTGAAAAGTACCACAGCTGGAACCTTGCCATCTCAGCAACAGCAGGATGAGGCAGAATGATTGGAAGTTCTGGGCTAGCCTGGGGTACTTGATGCTTTCGAAGCTAGCCCAGGCAATTTAGGGAAACCTTGTCAGTCCTGGAACTCGCTTTGTAGACTAGGCTGGCCTTGAACTCAGAGACCATCCTGCCTCTGCCTCCTGATTGCTGGGATTAAAGGCCTGTGGTACCACCACCCGGCTGCAGGATTCATTTCAACACCCAGCATTAAGAAAAGAAAAATCATGCTAGATGTCAGGGGAAGAAGACAGTGTGAATGACAGCCTACAGGCCACTTGATGCCTGTCATCTGCTCTTAAATGAAATATGGGCCACGGTAGAGCTATGTAGTTTGATGTCTGTCAATACAAAAAAAAAAAGTGAAAAATAAATGAAAAGATGAAGTATCACAAGAGCATAGCCACACCCACTCATTGGAAGATCATCTGGGATGGCTTTCATAGAATGCCTGCCAGCCCTTCCCTGTGCTCAGCCCATTTTGAGGTCTCCAATTTGAAGGACCCCAGAAGCTATTCTCATCCCCACCCACAAGATGGGGAAAGTGGGTAGGCTGGGGGCATAACAGCTCTGCTAATAGGATGCTTGCCTGGCATACATGAAGCCATGGGTTTGATCCCTAGCATCACATACACTGGGTGTTGTGGGCACCTTCTCCAGCACTAACGTGGTACAAGCAAGAGAAAGAAGAGGTCAAGGTCATCCTCTGCTACATAATGAATTTGAGGCTAGCCTGGGCTACACATGACCTTGTCACAAACAAAAGCAAACAAGCAAATGAAGACAGCACCCCTTCACAAAATGAACTTAAACTGGGTCATGGACCCAAAGTCTAGAACTAAAACCATTAAAGCTCTTAGAAGACACAGGAGTGTATATCTGTGATTTTGGTTTAGGCAAAGGTTTCTCAGCTACAAAACCAGAAGCACAGATAACAAAAAACCAGACAGACTTCTGTGTGTGTAAGTATATGCTTGCATGTATTATGTGTACCGTGTGTGTGAAGTACCCAAGGCATCCAGAAGAGGGCATTATATCCCTCCAGGACTAGAGTTACAGAAGGTTGTGAGCCTGTAACTCACCAAGAAAGAGTAGTCCCTGAAAAGTAAGAAACTTTTGCAATGCTGGGGATGCCATCAGGATGATAAGATGGCCCACAGAACGAGAGGAAATATTTGCAAATTGGACCATATTAAAATATATATATTCTTCACCTTCCTAATAAAAAGATAAATCACCTTTATCTATTTATTTTTGAAGCAGGATCTCTCACATAGTTCTGACTGTCCTGGAATTTACTCTAGACCAAGCTGGCTTCAAACTGACTCTGCCTCCCAAGTGCTGGGATTAAAAACATGTGCCTCAATGCCCGGCAAGACACCAACTCTCAACAAGGGCAATGGATAGGAATAGATTTGTTTCCAAAGAAGATACAGGAAGGGGCACAGGAAGAGCTGCTCAAAACTGCTAGTCACTAGAGAAGGGCAAATCAGAGCTCAGTCACACACGCCTAGTGCTAGGGAGCATAGAGAAAAACAAAAACCGTCATGCATCCCTGAGAAAATACAAAATTGTGTAGCCATGCAGGAAAGTTGTCAGCTCCTCAAAACAATGTTAAACCAAGTTTCCCCCTGACCAGATACTTCATTCTTTTCTATATGCCTAAGAGAAATAAAACTTCTACTTACATAAAAAATGTACATACACATGCTCAAGTCATCATTATTCATAGAGTCCCAAAGTGGAAACAACTTATATTCCCATCAATAAATGAGCGGGTAAATAAAATTTGATAGGTATGTAAATGGACTAGTATCTGCTCCTAAAAAGAAATGAAATACTGATGTATGCTACAACAGAAAACATGACACCACGTGAAAGACAAATGTCATGAAAGACCCTATATTGGTGCTGAAGAAAAGGTCTAGAACAGTAAATCTAAAGATATGGAAAAATAGCTTAATGGTTGGCCAGGGCTAGAGGAAGGTCTGGGGGAGAGGTGGGGAGGGTCTACCAGTGGGCATGCATTTTCATTTGAGACTTAATGAAAACATTCTAGTGTTGACTAGTAATGGCTACACAATCCTGTATATACACTATAACCACAGAGTTGATTGTTATGTGAATTATAGATTAATGTGGCTGTACCCTGGCTTGCTAGAGAAGGGCACTTGGTCTGTAAGTTCACATCTGGCCGTGGCACAGGCTGTTTGGCTTTAGGGAACATGCATATATCCTGACACTTGGTGCTGGTTTGATCATTTGCAAAGTGCTAATTTGCCTTTCTCTGTGTTCACAGTGTGGTAACCCACATTGTGTTTACAAATAGTTTAACGTTTAATGTAAGCCTTTGTTTGCAAATCTCTCCAGAAACCTTCTCTGGCCTCTGTTCCCCCACCACTCCTAGCTCACTAATTTATAAAAAGACCATAAAACAAACTTCCCCTTTTCCTGGAACCATACCTAATTCAACAATAGTCTTGGCATCTAAAAACAAACAAAGCCCCATACCCTTTTGTTCAGGGCAAGGGCCACATGAAAGTTCTGTGAGAGATCCAAGCAAAGAAAGTTGGTGTAGAAAAGCTCTTCCAAGGCCTCCCAGCTCCCAAATGCCCCAGTTCCCACATCATCTTTCCCAGATTCTTACTGATGTCTGGGTCCAGTTCATGTGGCAGAGATGTCAGAGCTGGCAAAGCTCTGCTGACCCAGAAGGTCACCATACAGACACAGAAGCCATATTTATAGTGTCAGGGCTATTGCTGTGACTCTGATCTTACTTCCCCGATGTCACAGCAAGATTGGAGAGACCATACGACCAGAAGAAAGACCAAAGACACACACTTCTGATTCACAGACCTGTGTTTGCCATTTAGCGTTTTAACTTTATTCACTCACACAGGGAAGTCACACTTACCAAATATCAACTCCAATTCCCTGTCACTCCAGCGACTTGAAAACCCTACACTATATCATGGCCACAAAGCAAAGGCACCATTTTCTACTCTTGTTTTCCAAGCCTGGACCATGACTAAAAGCTGCATTAAGATAGTTTCTCCATCTATCAGGTAGCCAAGCTAAAAAGTTTTGGTAACAGTGTTGGGCAGAGTCAGAAGACATGGCTGGTGGGATGAAACACTGCTGGAGAACCTAGAAGACAATGTGGTAATAGGTATTGAAGTTATAGCAGACATTCCCTCTGCACAGTAACTTCTCTCCAAGTACTATAGCCAACACATGTGCACAATGGTACAAAAATGAGCCTAATGGCCAGGTGTGGTACACACCTTAATCCCACTACTCGGAAAACAAGGAAATCTCTGTGAGTTCAAGGCCAGCCTGGTCTACACAGTGAGTTCTAGGCCAGGCAGAATTACAAAGTGAAGACTAAAACAAAAACAAAACAAAATGAGACGCTACACCATAGAAGCCTGCAGTCTACTAAATGTCCTTCAGTATTGTATCTGTTCAGTAGTGCTATGCAGTGAAAGTGAAAAACAAACGAGGGGCAGAACAATCCTTCCAGCCTTTCTGTGTATAAGACAGGTGGTAGCGTGTGTACCTGGCTTCGCTATGAACTGGCGGTTCTGACTGACTGTGAGAAAGGGGAGTGGGGCGTGGGAAAAGTGGAGGCAAGTTTATCCATGGCAAACTCTCTTGTAATGTCTTTATTCTGAACCACAGAAACCCAGCATGGATTCACAATTACAAAATAAATGTGCATTTTCTTTTAAAAGTTCAACTGTTTTGGCCACAGGCACCTGGAGGACAATCAGGCACATTCTCACCTCCTCCAGTCTGTGGAAATCTTTCCCCAGTCTGTTCACAGGCCCTTCTGAACAGTAAGAGATAGCGGAGCCAGGCCACAGCTGTACAAACACAGCACAGAGCGATCTCTCATGCTGTTTTACACAGCAAAGCGATTCCTTCTCACCACCAATAGTTAGGAGGGTGAACAGACACAGGCACCTGGCCCCTCACTTTGCATGAGTGCTCCTCCAACATTTAAACCAACCAACAGGGAGGTGGAGAAGCCCATTGTGGGGTGAAGAGAGAAAAGCCCAGGGGCTGTGGACAACAGCTCTCAAGGCTCAGGTTTCTCTTTTACAAATTGTGTTTTTCCCACTGTGACATTTTAACTCTATGCCATGGAATTTCGGGATGGGAGATGGGGGTTGCAGGTTGCACATGTGTGCATCTGGAAGCCAGAGAGCAACCTTGTCATTCCACTTTTTTTTTTTTTTTTTTGACAGGTCTCATTATCCTGGAATTCACCAAGTAGGATAGAGTAGCCAGCCAGCCAATCCCAGAGATCTGCCTATCTCCATCTCTGAGGCAATAGGATTACAAAAACCTGATACCACACCCAGATTTTTCACATTGGTTCTGTGCATCAAACTTACATCCAAGTGCCTGCTTGCCAGGTGAATATTCTCCCCAGCCCACCATGTATCTGTTTATATTAATGCATGTTTGGCATCCAAAGAACATTCAATTCTAACCTTATGATCTAGGGTACCAGGCACCCTAGAAGCCATGTTTACAGGCCACAAATCAAACCTACACTTCTTTTTACACTTACTTGTTTTTTATTGGGTGTGTTAGTGTTGTGCATGTGTGTGAGGTCAGAAAGCATCTCGCAAGCATCAGTGCTTTCAGTTCCAGGGACTGAATTCAGAGTCTCAGTCTGGGCGGAAAGGGCCCTTACCCACTGAAACATCTTGCCAGCCCCTTAAACCTTCACTTAAAAAAAAAAAGATTTTATTTTATTTGTGTGTGTGTGTGTGTGTGTGTGTGTGTGTGTGTGTGTGTGTGTGCCCACATGCCTGTACTTACACTCATGTTAGTGCAGACAGATCCCTTAGACCAGTGGTTCTCAACC